TGCTCTGGATATGTCTAAAATACTGCAGTTGTGTGTCTTTTGTGTTTAAATGCCTTCCTGATGTCTGTTTCTAATCGTACAATATGGTCGTATGTGGAATGATTTTTTCGAAAACCACTCTGAAATTTTGAAAGTAAATTATTTGTCTCTAAAAACCATTCAAGTCTTTTACCCACCATCCGTTCAAATATTTTTCCGAAACAGCTAGTCAACGATATCGGACGATAATTCTCGGGATTTCTTTTATCTTTCCCAGGTTTTGGCAAAGGGATAACATTTGCCGATCGCCAGTCTTCTGGAAAAATACATCTTGTCCACAACTCGTTCAAAGTAAATAGCATGAAATTCAAAGTGTTGTCGGGTAAGTGTCGGAAGAAAGAGTAGTGTAGCTTATCTGGCCCTATTGATGTGTTTCCGGTGGAGGAGATCGCATCAAGTAGTTCCGATAAGGAGAAAGCGTCGTTATAAGTTTCTGTGTTGTTGGACCTAAATGCATTCGGAGGTAGAGTAGACGTTCTTCTGAATTCTTCAATAAATCCCGCTCTATAATTCGTGGTCGAACTGTAGCGAGAAAATGTCTCTGCTATTGTATTTACTACTTGTTGTGGGTCCGTAATGGTTGCATTATTTATGTGAAGTATTGGAAGGCTGGAAAATGTCCGTTTCCCGGAAAGCGATCGGACCAGTGACCATATTTTGCTAAGTGGCGTCTGTGTGTTGAATTGTGATAAAAGGATCGCCAAGATGCCTTTTTTGCTTCTCTGATGATTCTTCTGCATTTTGCTCTTTCTCTGTTACGTAAAATTAAACTTTCCTCGTCGCGGAGCCGCAGGTATCTTCGAAAAGCCCTTTTCCGTTTGGCCAACGCCCTAGCTACTTCCGAAGACCACCATGGAACTCGTTTCCTTCCTGGTGGCGTCGTGATTGGAATCGAGTTGTTTGCGGCTGACAAAATTGTGTTTGTTAAAAAGGTGATCCCTTGTTCTGGAGAATGAAACTGTTCGTGGTCAACCGCACAAAACTCTTGAAACTTAGCCCAGTCTGCCTTCTTCAAATTCCACCGAGGAATAAAAGCGGAAGTAGCATCGTCATCAGATCGGAAAGTTGTACAAAGCTTGATTAGATAGTGATCACTGTGGTGAACATCTGTATCCACTATCCAATCAAAAAGGGCAGCGATTTGTGGAGAACATATCGAAAGATCGATTGCAGATTCACTGTTGTGTGCTAAAGAAAAATGTGTGTTTTCTCCTGTGTTAAGGAGAACCAGGTGATTCGTGTCGAGAAAGCGTTCAACTATTTCACCGCGATCATCGGGTACTCTAATGTTACGGCCCCACATCGGACTGTGGGCATTAAAGTCTCCGAGTAAGAGAAATGGATGTCGGAACTGTGCTATTAGACGGTTGAGATTTCTTTCAAGTGTGTGGTTATCTGTGTTCGGAGGAATGTAGATGGAGCAAATGTCTAAATTCCGTCCGTGCAAACGGATAGTGCAAGCCACCGCTTGCAATGGAGTGTTGAGCGTTATCAAATCATGTACGTAGTCATTGCTGATGTATAAAGCGGAGCCGCCGTGGCGCCGCTCTCCTTCAGTCTCATCGTATCGATATAACGAATAGTTGAACAGCGAAAAGTTATATGGATCGGTTGGAAGTAACCATGTTTCTTGTAGCGCTATTACTATGGGTGCTAGTAAAAGAAAGATCATTTTGCTTTCGGCCCAGTTCGAAACTAGGCCTCTGCAGTTCCACTGGAGTATGCTGTTTATTGTTGTTCTAAGAGAGAGTACCTGTTTGTTACACCACGACGGGGCGAAGCCCAACTAGACGCACGGTTGTGGCCCATTGCTACTCGGATAGGTGGACGTGACGTGCGTGTGCCTGAGGCCTGTCTATCCTCTGATGGAGGCTGGGGGCGGGGTCCTTTCGTGCGCTGGACCCTCATCCATCCTGCAGTGGAGCGACCAGCTCCGGTGGAGGGCTTTGGCTGCTGACCGATCTCCTGTGAGACCTCGGGCTGTGAGTCGGGAGGGGAGGAAGGCATTGGGTCACCAAAAATGGTCTCGGTTGCGGCGTTGGTGTTCGTAGATGTGGTCGTAGAGGCAGTCAGGGGTTTCAGACACTGAAGAGGGGGGAGTGCTGAGATCGGGTCAGTCTGAGTACTGCATGAGGTGGTCTCTGTACGGGCGGCCTTGGCATAAGACCGACCAGGAGCCGGAGTGGCTGTTTCGGCTTCCACACGGCGACGAGCGTCGGGGTAGGAGCAGCCGGACTGAGCTTTGATCTCGCAGATGCGCTTTTCCTTCTTCCACGTGGGGCACTGAGAGGAAGAGACTGAATGTTCCGAGCTACCACAGCTGAGACAAGTAACTGGTTTGGTGCAAGCAGAGTCCGCATGAGGGGCTTCACCACACTTCTGACAGCGGGCAGCCTGACGGCAAGTGGCACTGCCGTGACCGAATCGCTGACACTTGAAACAGCGGAGCGGATTGGGAATGAAAACTCGGACGTCTTTCTTGAGCCAGCCGATGGCGATCTTCTCGGGCAGGGTGGTGGAGTCGAAAGTCAGAACGAGCAAACTAGTGTCCCGTCGCTGACCATCGCGGAAGGTAGTCAGCCGTCTGACGTGTGTTACTCCCTCTCCTCTCAGGTCTGACTGGATCTCATCCTCGGTCATGTGGCGGATCTCGGGGGCAAAAATCGTGCCTTTGCAAGAGTTGCGACTCTGGTGGAGAGAGATTGTCACCTGTTTGCCACAGAACATGGTTGTCTTCAGGAGTGCTTTTGTGTCCCTTCGGTTGTGAGTTTTGATCACGAGAGTGCCGTTAGCTGGAGCTTCGATATCGGGGCCATGCTGACCACAGATAGCAGCGATCTGCTTCTGAGGCCAAAAAACGTTGATCTTCCGGAAAGAGAAGTCACTATCGCTAGCCTTCACTACCAGATAAGAGCCGTCGAGAGCCAAGTACGGTTCGAGTGGAGAGCGATCGACAGAAGCACAGGCAGGTGCGTTGGCCAAGTTCGTGCGCGGGTCAGAGCTCCGGGAGTGGTCGGTGGACGGGCGAGGGTCATGGCTCCGGGCGAGGTCGGTAGACGAGCGAGGGTCAGAGTGCCGGGCGGGGTCAGAGGTCAGGTCAGCGGTCAGGGCGTGGTCAGTGGACGAGCGAGGGTCGGTACCGGGTAGATCAGTCGAAGGGTGGGTAGAGGAGGGAGGGTTGACGGTCGGGCGGGAGTCGGTGTCCATGGCAGGGGGAGGAGTCGGATTTAGAGGGGAGTCAGAGTCGGATTCGGAATAGGAGTCGGATAGCGGGCGCTGACGGCGCCGCTTCCCCATCGTGGGGCAACTGGATGCGGTTGTGGGCAGTGAGGGGGGTTAAGTTGGAACAAGTGGTAAAAGGTTGGATGTGAGGGGTGGGGACGCGCGTAGGAGAGCTCTCAAAACAAACCCGTGAAATGCCAACTGCCGAAGCAAGTTAACGATCACCTTAGCCTGTGTGTGTGTCGCCGCTGCTTTCGTGACCTATATAAGAATCTAAATGGTTTCACTAGGTAGTTTCGGAAGAAAAAGCGTTGCCAATCGTCCCGTGATGAATATTGCAGAGGTTTTAAACGTGCACCCTAACAATTGTACTTTCGCCCCCACTTGGAAACCGCCAAACAATATGCCAATATATCATTGGTTCAAAAAAAGTTGAAAAATTGTTGTAATTCAAAACTGTATGAGACAACGCCATCTAGTTGTAACAGTAGATCCAACTCCTTCAGGGCAGGTTATGTAAAGGTTCGCCATCCACGGATACGCGTTTACGATACCTCGAGTAGTTCCAACTCTTTCAGTGAGGGCTGTGTCAATGACTCGACACACGCGGGGACAATATCCGGTGCTGGGTAGCTACCTTACTGCAGACTGTGGGTGCAGTGCATATTTACGAGTAATAAGGCAGGCAAGTCTGCTTACCCTCTAGCTAGAATCTGGACATGGCGAGTTAATACACATATACCACCCGCAGAGCAACGCTTAATTGGCCAGCTTCGCGTGAAATTGTTTTCAGTGCAGTGGACCGCGGAGCTTTATTAGACCCGAGTGGCGCCGGGACGACCCCTGCCGAGAGTCTGCCCGGGAGGACGGCATGAACGGACGGGGCTCTCTGCGGCGGCCGCTGGAGTCGCTGGCCACTCTGTCTGAAAGGTCACTGAGCAGTCACTGTCACTGACCAGTGACCAGTGGTCAGTCACTGTCTGGATGGGTAATTGGTTTACACATGATAGTCATTTTCCGGACGGTGACTTTTCGTGTGACTCTCCAATGATGGATAACTGAAGCACCAACCATGCACTAGCGTAGCTTTCGATTGATCGGCGGCAATCGTACTCCAAACTTACGGTACAAGCCCTTCTGGCACTGCTGTTTACCTGTTTGTCAATTGTCGTAACGCATGCAATCTGGTCCTCATTTCGTATTAAATACTAACATTTACTCACAATATTGGATGATGCTGGCGGTAAAATTGCTACGGTTCTACGAAACTTAAGTAGCCCACACTTTGGGCTTTAAAATATCGGATAACAATTCCTTGTGGGAATTTGTAACCCAAGCATTCGCCTAAGCCCAACCTTAAACAAGCCCCTGTCCTCACGGCGACAACAAGGGCATACGACGCATCCAATAATCTGACCCTCTGTGTCGGATTCCGTTACAGTCTCTTTTTACGTGTTTGCTGTTGACAGATGACGTAAAGTATGGCCTGTCTGTATGCTTGTACTTATGCATAATAATATAATCGTCCGGTGTTTGTTTGTATGTATCATTAGCTCGCACCCGTATCATACGTGACGTCAACCCGTGTCTGTGTGTCTGTGTGACGTCACTCGTGTATGGCTGACGTCATCTAAATGCGTGTAGTAGTCAATGCTTGCGCAACCCGGATTTGCTCTCCCGAGTATAACCCGAGTATAATCAGTATCTGACATAGGTAACTCATATATTGCACTTTGCAGCCAGTCAACTCTGGAAGAGTGGCGGGAGTTCACCCAGCGGAACCAGGACAGAGCAGAGGAGCAGCGCTGCGAGTCTACTCGTCTCAGACACCTGATTGACCGCATCCTGCAAGAGGTCGGTACAGGCGGGGTGGGGGTGGGGGGACGGTACTGACACTGACGGGACTGGGAACGGTATGGTACACCGATGGGACTGGGTGGAATAGTACACTGACGAGACTGGGGGGGGGGGGGGGGCTGCAGGATGGTGAACGGAGCTCTATCAATGTAGTTGTGTCCATCCAACGGATGGGGATGCGAGATCGAGCTGGACCGATGGAGATCCCTATTGGACTGGTGGATTACTTGGGACGCTGAGAAAGGGAATCATTAATTCATTTTGGGTGTGTTCTAGGACTGATATTTTTCCATTAATTACGTTCAAAGCGCATTTCCATTTCGCTTTATTCGCTCTTTAGCTCTCACGCCTGGCCTGTCTGCTTCAACTGATTCTGTTTGTGCTCATTTGGTAGCTATAGCTGCTAAGTACAGCGCTTATCGCTCAGCAGAATTAAACCCTCGGACGAGAAATGTCAGTCCAGACCTGTCCCAACGCATCTCTCGGGCCTGCTCCCGCGTTATGAGGTGCAAATGAGGCTCAGTGGTGTTTATGCGTCCAGAAATGGGTTTTGTGACTTCTGGAGACCTGTAATTGAATCGCTATTCAGATGTAAAACTCGCCTGCGGCTCATCTAATTACTTAGTCGTGCATTTTGAAGTTGTTTACGCGGTCGTCTTAGCCTAACCGCTCCGAAATAAAATCGTCCGTTTAGTTTTAGCGCTGCAAGCACTTTCTATAGCAACAACATTATCTGTGTGCAAATTGGGACACTAAAAGGATGCAGGCTAAAGGCATAGCCGATGTAAGTAATGATTGTCCACTCAAAACTTCTGTTTATGATGAACAGAATGAATGAAAAGTGAAAAATATCGACTGGTTCTCGCAGCCAGCGTTGCAATACATGACCTTAGTCAATACTACCAATTTGAGATGTCAATCAGAAACGAGTTTGCGGTTTATACCAACATCAAACTTATGTGGTTGGTTTTCTGTTAGTCACTCTTCTCACACATATGAGCTGCACGGTGGAGAGGAGGGGAGGGAACCCTCCCCCCTGTGGTGGGGAGAACGATCCACTCGGTGCCCGGCCGTGCCCGGCCCGATAATACGCGCATCACACCCAGCACGGCCGGCACGTCTCGGTACGACCCGGCGGGCGGTAAAGGTCGGCGGGTACGTGTGACGCACGGCGCTCCGCCGTGGGGGGGGGGGGGGGTGAGCATATCCCACATACCTCGAGATCTGATTGGCTGCCATCATCGACTGCTCTGGAGCGATCAACTACTTAGGTGTGAAGTATCAACTAGAAATCGATATCAATCCATCCAACAATACAAATGGTTCAAGGCTTAGCACAAAGCAGCCTTCCAGTAGCCGGCTGGTAAGATAGAACAGCCTCTGTTTGCTCTCTAAGACACCCACTTTGTATAACTGCCAGGTCTTGGATGGATGAAGTTTCGCCGTACGCTGCGACGTTGAGCAGTTACGGCTGAGAATATATGTTCTGTAAGCCTCCCCTCTCTCGCCTCCCCGCCTTCTGCTGACTGCAATAAGTGGTATGCCAACGTGACGTCCTCTGTCGATAATAGCCAGCCGTACCTACCTCCCCCCCCCCCCAGCGCTCAGGTGGTCTGTACGGGCTCCGTCCTAGCGGCCCTTTATACAGCCATAAGTACGCCGCATATGTAGTAAATTCCCAGGCGGCGAGTCTTAGATCACAGGGCAGTGGCCCCGGCAAAGAGAGCGTGGTGCGTGCAGGATTTATCCTGTTTGAGAATAGCCGACATCTGAGACTGAATGCGTTATGGTAGCGGAGATTTAGATATGCGTTTACGCTGTTCCTTTAGCTCAAATGCACCTTTGTGTTCGATCATGTATTTGCATAAAATTCCACAGAGCAGCTACGACGGACTTTGAACATTCTGTCAGTTTCGATAAGGACTTTAGTTGTAAAATGTTCTTGGTTCGCCTAGTCGCCTTGAACTATGCTGCAAGTTTGTTTCATCACTCAGTACCGATACTCCGAAGCCATGAGCAGACCAATCCACAGAATGTAATAACTCCCACACGGGTGTCTGTTTGGAGACAGGTCGCGAGAAACGGGCCTGATTGTCCGACGCGCCGGCTGCCGTACTGACATAGTTGGTCGACTGTTGGCCTCTACCGTGACGGCACATGGGTGTGATTAAGGACGTCTCATGGCGATGGTCGTTCTCCTGCTATCGGCCGAGTGGGCAGACTCGGGCGTTCCTGTACATTTTGACCAAGGTTTTGTCGCACGGTGCAGGGCGGCAAGCCCTTCAAACCATTTTCAAACTGCTGATCTGTCGGAAGGCTTCGTCGCTGAAGTTGGTCCTCGGTGGTGCGAAGAAGTCGGTTCCAGTTCTGTGTGATGGGATAAGCTCGGTGCCGACTCTGTGTGATGGGCCGGTACCTTATATAACCTGTCCTCTAAAGGATCACATCTAAAGAGTGCGATGTTTGCTTGCTTACTGGCCCTGTCCTGCCCTGTCTTACCCTGTCTTACCGTCTGTCTGTCTGTCGTCTGTTCGTCCGTCCGTCCGTCCATCCGTCCGTCCGTCCATCCGCATTTCTGTACTTCCCCCGGCAATCTGACTTTCTATCTCTTTGTCTCTATGTCTCTACTCCTGCATGCATCTGCGTCCCGCTGTTTCACGGAGTTTTGTATATTTTCCGCAGGTTTCCCGGGACATGTTAGCGGCCAGCGACGAGACGGCCACGGCCACTGAGCGGCGCATTCAGGAGGTGATCGCCGCACTGCAGCGGCTCGAGACCGAGCTCAGAGAGGTGAGAGGGGGGCGGGGCGCGGGAAAAGGGTCACTGTCTACCTAAACATTAACCCGGTTTACATAGCATACTCGAGGGCAGCGCTTTTCGAGGAGCGCTGTGGCCCGAAGGTTTGGACTTTGAATTGTGAAAAACGCCCGCCCGCCGCAAAACGCAAACACCGCAAAACGCGCAAAACGCACGCCCGAAACGCCAACGCAAACGTCGCAAAAAATAAACAAACGCCCGCCCGCCGCAAACCGCAAATAAAAAAACGCAAAAACGCCGCAAAACAATAAAACCGCCCGCATCGCACGCCCGCTAACCGCCAACCGAAAACGCCTAAAAATCGCCCGCCCGCCGCCAAAGGCAAACACCGCAAAAAAAAACGAAAAAGCGGCCGCCAACCGCAAACAAATTTAACCCGCGCCCCACTGGGGTCTGTGTATAACACGCCCTACTGGGGGGGGGGGGGGCTATTCATAGCCCCCCTCCTAACTCCGAAACTACTGGGCCGATCATGAAAGTTCAAACGGCGTCTGATAGCCCCGGAAAAACTGTCGGGCGAAACCTAATTTCATTGACCTCGAGGTCACCGATGACGTCACAGGTCAGGTCAAAGTAAAAATTATTAGCACTTTGGCTTGTTCACATTTTGGGCTCTGACCGCCGTCTTACAAGTCAGATCAGGCTCATTTTTGGTTTCCACACTCGTGAACAGATGCTCTAGATACCTTGAGGGTACCAAACTTGTACTTTGATTTTCAGGTCAGGGTCAGGTCATCACAGGTCACGAAAATATTATATCATGCGTCGGTCACGTGACACATGTTTTATGGTCCAATTAGGCCATAGATTTCGAATTTGATGTCGTCTGTGTCATTCGAGGTCATTTTGAGTCGAATTTAGCTTAGGTCAGGTCACTTTCAGGTCAAAAAAGGTCAAATTTTGAAGTTAAAATTTTTCAACAAAAAAGGTGCCTATTGGATGCAGTTTGAGCTCAGGAACACGATGGTGCCATTCATATTGGTGTACGACGTCAAATACGTACTGAAAAATTGATTTGAAAAATTAAAATTGTGAATTTTTTGCAATAATGCGTATAACTTGGCCATTTTTGAAGATATTTAGCTAAAACTTGCTAGAGTTAGTCATAATCATGCGTTCTGTCACATATATTCCGGTTTTTTCGAAAAGTCAAAAACTTTTTGAAAAAAATGTAAAAATATAAATTTTGAATATCATTATATAAGATTTTCGAAATTTTCAAAATTTTGAAAATCCGAGATAGCAGTTTGATAGCGCGGTCAATTCTGAGTCCTTTCATGCAAAGAAATTGGATCTAGCTTAAAAACTGAGCTCTTGGGAGCGATTGCCGTGGTTCAATGTTATGCGTCGAAATCGGACGAACATGACGTCACTCTGACGTCATTTCCGGCCGACCTATGGTAGCTACGAAGTTCAAATTTTGACACAAGGTGTCAAATTGATGCAGCCGAAGGTACTGCAAGTTTGGCGTCGATCCGTCAAGCGGTTTGGAAGTTATTGCAGAAAAACGGGAGGGGGGGCTATAAATAGCCCCCCCCCCAGTGGGGCGCGGGTTAACACCGCAAACGACCAAAAAAAAAAAAAAAGAAAACCGCCCGCATCGCCCGCCCGTCCGCCCACCGCCAAAGACAAACACCGCAAAAAAAAAAACACAAAACGCCCGCCCGCCGCAAAACGTAAACATCGAAAACGTGCAAAACGCACGCCCGAAACGCCAACGCAAACGTCGAAAAAAATCGCCCGACCGCCGCAAACCACACAAAAAAAAAAACGCCGAACCGCCGAAAAAAACGCCCACATCGTACCGACGCTAACTGCTAGCCGAAAACGACTTAAAGTCGCCCCCCAGTCGCCAAACGCAAACACCGCGAATAAACGCCCGGCCGCAGCAAGATAATAATTTATCAACGACTGGCATACCGCTAGGATTCCAGAGATTCATCTTTTTGGTCATTTTCACATATCAAAAAGATTTCTGCAAAAATCTCCTAGATGGAAGCACCCAACTAAAAAACGGATGGCACGTCCGTGTTCCTCGCCCCCAACTTCCTTCAGGTCAATCGTCGATTCGTCATTTGGGTCACCTGACGCATTGACAACCGGCTGGGTGGACTAAACATTGCGCCAAGACACGTAGGTAATTGGCAAAGAGAATCCTCAGAATGGTGGATCCCAAAAGTTTGGAACTACCCCTTTGACCCACTGGACAACACCTTAAACAGTTGCCGACCAGATAACACCCATTGTTTGGTCACCCACACCATAGTCTGCGTCACGGGTGTGCCGAAATGACCAAAAGTCCAAATTTCCGGTGTGCAGGGTCATTTTCAACGGCACGTGGCACGTGGTTCTGGACTTTTCCGACCACTTTGCGACATACCAATGGGTAATGCACCGAATGGTGGTTGATCCGCATGGAAGAAAATGGGGGGTCGTTTGGATCGTTTTCGAGCAATCTGCCATGGAACGCATTTTTATTTTTGTTTTCCCCGTTGGCTTAACATGGGAATTTTCAAAGTCAAGTGGCACGTGCACCAGACTGTCCGCGGAGGCGAGACCCATACCAGAACGTAGATCACCTGGCCCACTAGAAATCCTGAAAAAATCAGAATTTTTGGAGCAGCCGTTTTCTAGAGCATCAAGTTGTACTGATCTCAGGCAGCTTTTGCCAAATTGTCAGGGAACTCAGATTTGTTTTTCAATAGAAAAACACAATTCTAAAGAATAAAGTTTTAACTATTGACAACAAACCTTCGGTTATTTGACGATGCTCTAGCTCGTTAATTTGGCGATAATTTCGTTGCAGTGGTCTTCAAATATTTAGAGGGGATCATTTTGTAAATTGTTAAGCACCGTTGGCATCTTTTGCAACATCACGGACGGAGATATAAGCTTGCAACAAACCCTATGTAAACGCGTCTATTGTTAGGTAGACTGTGAACCAGGTCAATGGCTGTGCTTTTTTTTTTGCTGGAAAACTCATTTTTTTGCTAATTATGTGAATGGGTGCAATTGCAAAGGTGTTCTGCTGGAAACATAATTGCCGACCTCAAGAGCGACTGGCCTCATATCAAACTGTATGTCATCCTTATAAAAATGTCAGCTTACCAGAACTGCTGGTTTACTATAGAGGCTGTGTAAGAAAATCGGCTCTATTCAGCATGCCAAGTAGTTCAATAAAAGGTCGGTCGGTCTTTTAGGTATCGATCAATATGACAGAGAGACAGAAAGGGAGAGAGAGAGAGAGAGAGAGAGAGAGAGAGAGAGAGAGAGAGAGAGAGAGAGAGAGAGAGAGAGAGAGAGAGAGAGAGAGAGAGAGAGAGAGAGAGAGAGAGAGAGAGAGAGAGGCATTTCAGAGAGAGAGGCAGGCACAGAGAGAGGCAGGGGGGGGGGCATTTTGCCCCCCCCCCTGTGGTTTTTCCTGAATAGCAAGATAACGGCGGCGCGCAGCGCCGCCAAATTTTCAGTACCTTCCCGGGCATCAATTTGAAACCATCACACCAAATTTCAAGTCTTAGGTCACCTTAGGTCAAGAGTTATTGAGATCAAACTGAGGTCATGTTCGAGCAAAAATGAGCAAAAAACATGCAATCTTGAAACGCTCACCAAATCTACAGTTATCAAGCAATTTCAAAGTTTTTTATATGGTCTAGTAGACAAAAAGTGGCGCTACAGAACTGCTATCTCGGATTTTCAAAATTTTGGGTTTTTGACCCTAAAAAATTCAAAAAAATGATTTTTTTGGAAAAAAACTTAAAAAAAATCCAAAATTTTTCCGAACTTCGAAAAAACTGGAATATATGTGATAGTCCCTGCGCTCTTCTATATACATACCAAATTTCAGATCGATATCTCGTTTTTTAACCAAGTTATAGCGAAAAAAACTGTTCAAAAATGATGACGTCAAATATTTGAACTCAATTTTTAGCGATCCTAGACCACGTACGGCAAAACAAAGACCACCATTGAACTCCGCGTGACGAGCTGCATCGATTCGATACCCATTTTATGCAAAAATATTAATTTTGAAATTTGACCTAATTTGACCTGACCTTGACCTGACCTTGACCTGACCTTGACCAGAACGTGACCTAAGCTGGCCCCAAAGGCTGCCTGACCCACATAATCGCATTTGTCATGTAAAATGGACCATAAAACATGTATCACACGACACTTTCATATTGTGACCCCCCAGTGACCTGACCTCTGTGACCTGACCTGGTATCAGTGACCGCAAATAGCAAAATATGTGTTTGAAGAACATTTCTCCATCGATGATTTTTAATGAAATGCATTTTACTCGATTTTACAACGCATTTCTTGAAATGCCTGTAAACGGTGAAAATTGGACCTTTGACCTGACCTGTGACGTCATCGGTTTGACCTAGGTCAATAAAATTGGGTCACAAGGTAGTTTCCTGATAGGGCTATCCAACACCATTGGCCGCTTGTCGCTAGGTTATGTGGTTCTCGAGATCTTAGGGGGGGGGGCAAAATGCCCCCCCCCCCCCCCAACAGGGCGCGTTGCTCGGCAGAGCCCAACGGGGCGCGGGTTAAATTGTAACCTCTTATGGGCAGTATTGTTGTCTTGGAGCTAAGGCTCTCCAGCAATACGCCCCATTTACTGAAGCTGTATTATTGTGCATTGCTACGCCTCTTGATGCAAGAGGTTCTAAGACTCTCCCACGCTACACCCAGCCGCCACGCGATGTAAAATGCGCTTTACCCAGCACCCGGCACCTTACTTTATTTCACATCAGGGAGCGGCAGAGTGGGTGCCGATATTGCGGTGTGAGAGTGCGTCACATAATGTCACGCTGCGCTTCGTCGCCGCGTAATATGCTACCATTTTCGATCTAGCCTGAAATAAGGACCTTCCTTTTATTTCATTTTCGTGAACTTAGCTCAAACGTTTCCAAACTTCAGTAGCGGCTTACAGAGCTGCAGCCCACGCCATGCCGAGGTTGTGTAGC